CCCTTCCTGCGCCGCCGGTCTCGCTCAGTCTTCCTTCCTGTCAGCGCAGGGCTGCCGCCTATGCAAATCGATGCGAGTTATCTGCTGAAAAACAGCAGCAAGCGGTAACCGCCCGTAGCCTGTATGACCCCCTGGGAGCAGTGACGTTGGGTCTGTCCCGGCAGGATGCTCCATGCCCACGGCTGCTTTCTCCTGAGAGTGCCACAAAACCAGGCTGACCAACGTCCAAATTGCACCGAAATCCCTCGAAGCAGAACCAAGATCTCACTGCGGCTTGGGAGAGGTGAGGGGTTTCGCTGTGTAACCTCCTCGCTAACCAGGAGGGCTGGGGAGATCCCACGGATGGGGCTGGTGTCGCAGCACCTCTGCCCTGTGCTGGGCCATGCATGGCAACGCTTCCACGAGTAAATTCAGGTTGTATCTTGAAAGAGCAGAATGAAGGGGCAGGGATAAACTCCTCTTCCTCCAAAGCCGTTTTTCTGCTGGTGCCGAATGTTTTCTCGAATTATGAGTCTGTCTCTAAAGAGGTGGGTCGCGTGGCACCAGGGAACGGCGCATCTGCTCCCAAGGAGCCCCAGCCACAGCAGCAGCAGGACCAGTGGGACCGCCCCTGCCCAGCTCAGCTCAGGCAAGTGAGGTTCGTCATTATTTTGCATTTTGGTTCTACAAAAACCTTAATTTTTAAACTCTGTAACAGGTTTTGCTGGCGTTTAGGTAAATCCTGTTAATTCTGAGATGCAGAGAAGAGAAGCCCTGTGAAGGCGGGTGGGCAGGGTGGCACAGCAGCACTGAGACACAAGGCAAATAACTCCGCTTTCCGTGAGTCCCAGGGCAGAGCGGCCGGGCCTGGGGAAGGGAGGGAAGCGCAGCTCCCCAAAATAGTAAGACAATCCCATGCTACAGTGTGGTTTGCTGCCATTCTGGTTTATACCCAGTGGCTCGTTTGTTGGGATAAAAGCTCCCACTGCTGGGATGATTTGGGAGAGGTCAAAGTAAGCAGAAGTCAGCGATGAAAAACAGGTTGAAAACAGCACATCCTGTTACGAGGTGGGATCTAGCAGGTAGCTCTAACGAAGCTGCATCTAAATCTATAATTACACATCTTTCCCTTCACCAAGTCCAGCTGAGAGGTGGTTGATGGCTGATGGTGGAGATGATGGTGGGGAATGATGGTGGGCTCACAGTCAGATCATCCGCATGTGGTGAACTGTGTTTGGGCAGGAGAGGTGGGGGCAAGCAGGAGTTCGGCCCTCCAGCCAGCGCGCCAGGCTGCGCGTCTCCCTGGGCTCGCTCTCTGCCGGTCCTGGGGCTGTGCCTGGCCGGGGGTTAAACCCTTTCCTCTTCCCAGTGTTAGGTCTGACGGTGATTTCCGACACTGGCAGGAGCCTGGTTTCTGGAGGAGGTGGCATCTGGGAAGTCCCATCAGCTGTCACCTTCCCGATGAGTTGTAGCGAAAGATCCCTCACATCAAAAATGACTGTGCAGAAGCCCCAGCCAGGGCTGTACCTCCTGCTTTCAGTCATTTGCTTATGTTAATGAAGACACCTCAATCATTTCTTTGCAACTGCATGTAACATGTGCCTCGTGTTTTTTCCAGGCTGTTCGCTTGACTCAGCCCCAGGCTTCCCAGCAGACTGCAGGCCTGTTCCCAGCCATGGGCCCCCGCAGCCGCCCCGTTCCGTGCCCGGTGAAGCCCGCAGCAGGCGGCAGAGGCACCGGTAGCTTCCAGAATGGCCTCTCTGCAGGCTCCCATGGGGGTTCAGGGGGGCTGGGGAGCACGAGCCTGTCTGGAGCAGCCGGGGGCTCCCTGCCCCGGGCTCTGCTGGAAGATGGGACATTTGAGGTCCATGTAATGATGCAGAGCCCCATGAAGGAGGCCAAAAGCTGAAGCAGAGGGGAGCTGAGGTCGTGAAGGCAGATCAGGACGGTGAGCCATTGCTGGAGCTGGCCTTGGTGGGTGCTTACGGAGCCTTTGTTGTCACCAAATTCTGGGAGCACTGCAGCAAAGAGAAAGAAATCGTGCAGGTACCGGTGCTTGCTTTAACTGGGACTGCATGCGGAATGGCTGGGGGTGGGATAGAGGGCCAGCCGTGTGGCGTGTGAGTGGGGGTGATGGGAAGGTGCTTCGTGCAGCCCGGCCAGCCCTGATGCTGCAAGTGGCCAGTCCAGAAAAGTCCCGGGTCCCAGTTCCTGCAAAGCCAGAGCTTGTTCCCTGTTCCCTCGCAGTCCTGCGACTCCAGGATCTGATGCCTTCAGGGAGTCATTAAATGCCACAAGACTTGGCGTGGCAGAGAGCACTGCCCAGGAGCTGGAGTGGCAGGAGTGGGAAGACTCGGCTCTGCGGAGTTCCGGGGCCGAGCCGGGAAGACCTGTACTTCTCTGCACTTGCAGCTTTGGGGCTGAAATGTACTGCGGCATCAGAAATCCCAGGGCCTTCCCCAAGGGCAGTGTTCCCCCAGGACAGATATTGCAAGGTGGCGGCGAATAAAAGACAAGATATGTTAGGGCAGGTATGTTGGCCCCCGGCAGATCTTTAAGGCTGGTGTTTGTGTGCTTGGTGGAGGAGCTAGCACCAAAGCTGGAGGGTGTGGGGTCTTTATAAGGTAGGATAGTGCAAGTGGAGGACTCGTCTCCACCTGGGCAACTCACAGGGCTCGCTGGGTCTGCTCAGCCCTGGTGCCAGTGAGGGGTTGGGGTGCCAGGTGCTGAGGAGCTGGCTCAGCTGGCGTGTGTTGGATCCTGCCCTCCTGCCCTGTGCAGCAAAGGGGACAGGGAGGGCGTGGGGACGGTGAGAGTGCACACGTGTCCCAAGCAAGCTGTTCTCCTCTTCATGGCTGGCTTCAGCCTTCATCCAGGGAAAGCAGCTTGCTGACTTGTCGAAGCGCCCCGGTCTGCACCACATCGTGTACAGCGGCCTGGAGAACGTGAAGCAGCTGACGGGGGCTGGCTGGAGGTGTTCCACTCTGATGGCAAAGGCGTGGTGGAGGAGTACTTCCAGAAAACTGGTGTTCCCACCACACTTCCATTCTACTGTGAGAACTTCCCCTCCATCTTCAAGCCATGGAAGGTCCCGCAGGGTACCTTTGTCCTGGGTAAGATGGGACCTCGCACTTTCCAGGTCACTGTCCTGTAGTTCTCATCCGCTCCCACTGCGCCGAGGCTCGCTGACGGGCAGAGAAGCCACCAGGGCTGCAGACCCATGGGGAAAAGAGGCCTGTGCCAGCTTGGCCACAGCAAGTTGCAGCTGCATTATGGTTCTTCAGACCTGTTTGGTGGCCTGCAAGCAATGAGTGAGATCCCAGCACTGTTGCTGGTGCTGAGGGCTGCTCTGCAGATCCTGGAGCGTCAGTGGACACCCCAGTGTGATTGGGGTGTCGGGGGTCAGAGGTGGGGCTGCAGATCCAGGTGAGGCACGGTGTTCTGGCTGCCCACAGCTTCTTAGCTCAGCCCTGTGGGTGCTCTTGGCTCTTCCTCACCTCGTGTTCACAGGCTGGGTGCCGAAAACTCCTGCTGCACCCCCTCAGTGCTGGGGCTACCCTCTGACCAGAATCCGTCTCTCCCCTACAGTGCTGCCCATGGGGGACACCCCCATGGATGGGATGGTGGTGGACCTTGGCCTGTTGTGCTTTGCCTGCTGAAGTCTCCGGAAGAGTACATCGGCCAAGTGCTCGGGCTCAGCACGGGCAAGCTCACCGAGCCAGAGTACGCCACTGTCCTCTCCCAGCAGACGGGCAAGACTGTGTGAAAGCCAGCGAGGTAGGAAGCGTCCCTTGGTGCGCGTGATGTTCTTGAGGTGAGGGGAAGCTGCTCAGGGCCCTGCAGCTGCTTTGAGGTGGTGGCAGGATGACCCCTGTACCTTCTCAACAGCTGAGTGCTCCGCAGGTCCCTGCCCCAGCCGGGCTGCTGCTGGCTGCGGGTGGGCACCCCTGCCTGGCAGCAGCAGTGGAGCAGCACGCCCGGCCTCTCCCGTTGGTCTGGAATAGCGGAGGCTCCCATGCCAGGGCTGAGCACGAGCAGCAGCGGTGAAACGAGTGCTGTCCTGCCCCAGCAGCAAGCTCAGGAGCTGCTGGGGTTGGAGGGCCCTTGTAGCTCAGCATATGGGGTTGGTACAACCCAGTGCTGGTATCCGGGATGAGTCCCGCTGCCCCTGCGTGCGGTTGGAACACACGTTGGCACCAAAGCTGCCTTGTCAGCCTTGTCACTGAGACAACGCACGCTCACGGGTGCGCCCGGGCAGGTCTGTGCCTGGCTCGGGGGGATAATGGAAGCCGGAGGTCTCCTGGAGAGCCGGGGGCCAGGCAGTCGCTAGTGGGGCTGGGCACCTACAGAACAGGTCTCTGCTCTCCCCCTCGGGGGCAGCCAGTACAGCGGAGAGGAGTGCAGTGGCTCCCTGCTTTGAGCACAAAGCACCTCTGATGCTCTCCGCAGGTTCTGCTCTCCCAGGGACAGATAAAGCAGCTCTCTTCTTCCCAGGGCCCCAGCGCAGTGCAGAAGCACAGGGGTCCGCCCTTTGATTCGGGCAGGGAAGGCAAATGCGAGGGTGCCAGGCAGCAGCCGGGGTTGTTCGGGCTCTCCAGAGCTCTCCTGGCCCCCAGGCCTGTGTTTCTAGAACGCCTCAGCCACACCTTGTGCCCCAGCGCAGGGAAGGGCTCCCTCACAGCTGGGCAGAGCAGGTTGGGTTCCTGAGCCAGCTGTGTGCCAGAGCCAAGTGCTGGCCTGAGGTGCTGACTCCCCCCTGCCAGTGGCCGTGGCTGCAGGGAGCCGCTGGCTCGGGACAGCTCCGGAACAAGCTCCTCGGCATCTCTGCAGCACGGTTTCTCCACCTTGAACTTCTTACGCTGCGCCTGGAGGAAGTGTGGGCGGGGGGCACCTCCTGGGTCAGCACTGGCCGTGAGACAGTGGGCTGCTTCACTGCAGCTCTCGTCAGCGCACTCTGGCGAAGGCTTTCCTCCACCTTGCCCTCACGCTGCAGGGCTGCTGCTGCCCTCACGCAACCCCAACCAAAACGACTTGCAGGCAGCAGAGCCCTCCTCACCGGTGGAAACACCACGGCAGGCTGCTCTAACACAGCCCTCTTCGTCTAAGGGAAAGGCCCCGCAGCCTCTGCCCTGTGAAGACAGCATTTTCTACCCGATTCTGCTTTGCAGATCTCACCAGAGGAGCAGGAGAAACGTGGCTTCCCCAGCGCCAAGGAGATGGCCGCTATGTTTCGTTTCTATGCCCTGAGGCCGGACTGCAACATGGACCTGATGTGCAACTCAATCCTAAATCCCGCGCCTTCTGTCAGCGGGTGGCAGGCACTAAGGCCGCCTGCTGACCCTTCCCTCCCTCCTCGCCCAGCTGAGGTTCTGCAGCAGGGTCCTGGCCAAGGCGAGCTGCGCGGAGCCACGCTGCCTGTCCCCAGCGCCCTGCGACAGGGCTTCGGTCCAGGCCTGTGCTCCAGGGGCTCTGCGGGTTGAGGCTGTCCAGACCAGTGCAACCGGAGCCAGAGGGACGGCGGCAGGGCTGCGGGCAGGCGGGAGAAGCGCTAGCTCTGCACGCTGTTTGCTCGGTGCTTCGGGGTGGTCTCACGGAGATAGGGTGGTGGGGCCGTGTCTTCCCCGGTCCCCCTTTCCTAGGCAGCGCCAGGCGGGGGCCGCACTCACAGCACCGCAGGGCAGTGCCGCCTCTGCTGCGGGCTCCCGAGCAAACAGAAAACCCCGGGGTTTCTCCAGAGAGCGGGCTCAAGACACAGCCGCACGCCTGCAGCCAGCGCTGCACGAGTAGTACCCGGGCACCGCTTGGGAATAAAGCAGAGCCTCGTTCCTCGAGTCGGGCAGCTCAGCCGTGGGCTGGCCTTTGGGCTCCGGGAGCCAATTTCAGTCACTGCCCCCTCGAGTAAAACCTTTGCAGGACTGTCCAACCTTAGGATTTAAGACTCAGCTTTAAAAGCGCCTTCCGCCACACCACCATACGCTTAAGGTACTGCGCGGGTAAGAGCTCAGGGCTGGGGCAGCCTTTGCCTGTGCCCAGAGTCAATCGCAGTGCCCAAGGAGATGCTCAAGCCATCCAGCCCTGTCGTCTCCTCAGCTGAGAGAAGAGCTTTGTTCCTGTTACAGAGGGAGGGAAAGGGGGTGACAGACAAGGCAGCAAGGCACAGCACGTGTTAAATATCTTTATGAAGTCAAATCTTATTTACATGGATACAGAATCACTTTACAGACAGCTTAATCAGGAGGCAACGCGTGCTTTATTTCAGCAAATTAAGGGCGGCAAGACTATAACATGTTCTTGTTTAACTGGTCGATTAGTATGTGGGCTGATGGTACCCGCACGGTATCACTAACAGCAGCTACAGTAACCACGAAAACACTCACTGCAAGAGCTCAGCTCCACCTGGAAGGAGCGATCCACTCCACTTGCACTCTCACACATACAGGAATGACGACTCTTTCACCAATCATTTAGGCTACGGGTGTTGCGCTCATGTAATAAAAGACTTTGTCCCAAACTGGCAAAGGGTGTGGTGCTAAACTCGCACCCCTTTAGAAGCGGCAGCGTTTGTGTTGTGACTTTAGCGAGCGGTGGGATGGAAACCTGACGAGATTCCACCACCGCTCTTTGTGGTGGAAATCAGCAGGATTGAGACACGCCAGGGCTGCTGAGGAAGCCTTCCCGCTCCGAGACGGGCAGGACAGCCAGGAGCGCTGGCGTGAAGACGGGGTTAAACCCACCGACCCACCACGTCTCCTAGGAGATCAGCAGTGACAAGTTCACCAAGCACATCCAGCGTTCAGAAGGGCACCTGAGGGAGCAGCAGCCATCTTGGACTCCATGAAGCAAGCCAGAAGATCAATTTTTATTTCGCATTTCCACTGTTTTGGATCGTTAATAGCATTTCAACTTTAATTTTTACCAAATAAGCTTCCAGTAGCAGTAGGGACTGCAGAGCAACCTCACCAGAGAGCTGCCATTCTGCAAGGCTGGCGTTTTCCTTCATTACCCTCTCCTAGGACAGCGGGTGGGTTGTGTACCATGATGAGTGCTGGTGTCTCAGTGGTCCGCAGCCTCTCCAGCTGGGATTCTGGCTGTGCTGCTCACTGACATCCTCCGCTCTCCAGAGCCCGCTGCCGGAAAGACTCCTGCCCAACTGCAAAGATAATCTGCTGCTGCTGGCTCTTAGTTTCCAGTAGAACGCTTCCCTGCTGTGAAAATGAGAGAGAAGTTGCATTTCCCAACCGACTCCCCTAAGGCACGCAGCCCCACCCGCCCCCCCAAAGGCACGCAGCCCCCGCAGCCTGCTTCGCAGGCATGAGAGCACCTCCCCGCCTGACCTGCCCTCACACTCCGACAGCCACGCAGGACAGACCCGTTTGGAGCCTGTGGTGACTGGAAGCGGAGCCTCTGAACCCGAGACACCAGTGCCTGCCACGGATGATTTCCAGCCTGCACTGCTCCCTCGCAGCAGGCCGACACCAACTAAACGGCACCCTAAGCTGTAACACTGTGCGCGTTTGTGTGACGAGGGGCTTTGCAGTGCTTTCTGACAAAGATCGATCCCTTCCCGGTGCCGTAAGCCCACGGTAGGGGTGAGTCCACAGCCTCCGCAACTGGCAGCGGGGGCTCTGCAGGCCCCTCTGTGCCTCCCAGCAAGCCTGGGCTTCGCAGTGGCAGCAGAACTGCCCGGTCCTGGCTTTACTGGCTAACGGGAAAGCACCCAGGGCTTTCAATCAGGTACAGCCCCTGAGTGGGCACGGAAGCAGGGCTGCAGGGGAGGCCAGCAATCTCCCCGAAGATGTATCCAGCATTTTTGCTGCAACAACGATGCGATTTAATCCCTGGCTTTTTGCTCCAGGTCGCAGGGGCCAGCTAGGGCACTTCACACCGGTGGCTGGAAGGCCTGAGGCTAAGGGAGAAGCAATGCTGTGCTTTTGCTGCTTCTGCCCCCCCAGAAGTGCAAGTTCTGCTCAGTGTAGGGGAAAGACCAGAACAAAACACAAGAGGCCTCCTACCTCAGACAGGGTGTCAGGAGCTAAACATTTTCTTAAGTTTGGAAAGGAATCCCTCCTTGTTCTCCTCAGCCTCAGGCCTATCCCCGCCTGCGTCAGCGCTAGCCGTGGCCCTGCCACCTGGACACAAACAGCAAAGGGCTGCAGTCAGACACATCTCCCACCAGCAGCCAGTACCCCTGAACAAAGCGAGAGGGTTATTTCAGACTGGAAATGGTCAAGGCAGCTGGTTTTACCAGCATCACCATGTACAGCAAGCCACAGTCCTGGACCGCTTGCAGGGAAAGCACCGGAGAGCCCATACCCCAGAAACAGAAAAGAAGACCGTGAGCCCAGGTGACACCGTTCCCTTCCCCTCTCCCCAGCCCTCCAACTGGTGAGGGAATTCTCGTGCTGCACAATCAGGTCAGGACCCCATGGGCTTTGAAAACAAGCACTTGGAATTGAGAGTCAGCCACTAAAAACAGGTTGTCAACTTGACCGCAGTCAGCCACAGAAAAAAAGTTATACTGGTGGTCCCTGGAACAATCTGTCTTCCCGTTTCATGGTGGTGTCTTGACCCTTTAGAGCAAAGCAGCACAAAACCACAACAGGAGCCTGCCTCAGGGAATTCTCATGCAACGCTCAAACAGTATTGAGGAGAAAATGAACTCAGGGTAGAATGAAAAAGGCTACAAATATTTCAGAGCAAGTGTCCAGATAAGGAAGCTTACTGGCAGCAATGAGCATAACTTTCCTGTATAAACAGGTCCTAAGAAGTTGTTTATCCCTCCGAGAAGTGGCTGCGGCAAGGACAAAGTAGACCTCTTTGCCAGTCTGTTTTTTCTGCAGTATAACCATCAACAAGACAACCCCCAACTCCTCAAGCTTTCTTTGCGCAGAGAGAACACAAAGTCCAGTCCTCCCCATCCTCCCCCAGCTCAACCTGATGCAATGGTATGAAACAGCGAGGCCAGCAGCAGAACACGCCTCCATCCACGCTGGGGATTTCTGCTTCCCACAGCAAGGACACGCTGTCAGCAACAGCCTGTCTCTATACTGCAAACTACTGGCCTTGGTGTTAATCCACCTTGCTGCTTCATTGTGGTACAAACTGGCAGGTTTGCTTTTTAAAAAACAAGTTTGGAAAGGATTTCTTTTTCTTTGGCACATAAATGCCTTTAAAAAGCTGGAATTCTGTCTTTGGAGGTCTCTCCCGTTCCCCCCCAGGGCTGACCTTTAATGCTCACCCTCAGTGGAAGAGACCTAAGTTCTGTGTTACGGAAGCGCTAGAAAACAGAACACTGGCAAGTATCTGGCAGGCACCGCCTCCCAGTGTCCTGAACTTCAGCCTACATTCCTCTGGCTTTGGCATGTGTGGTAGAGAGGACCCGAGTTCCTGGGATCATTTAGCAGCTTTGAAAGACTCTCACCTTTGCCTAGCTGCACACAGTCATAAACGCCCTTTTTGCTTTCAAGCATAAAGCGAAATCCAACCAGCTTTAAGAAGTTCATTGTTCCAGTATAAGCCAGGAAAAAATTGTTTTCCAGCAGCGACAGACAAAGCTCTTGCCTGTTTTACCATATGCTTTGCCCTTAGCCTGTATTGACGTCACATACCTTACCCCTAAAACTTACCACATGCGATTGCCGAATCAAAATTTTTCATCTGGAGCTGAAAGAGGAGTTTTACAAAGCCCCCGGCTGACTGCGCTCCCTCCATCACGCTGGACGCTGTCTCCTGACTGGAGCCACCACTCGGCACCGATGAACGTTTCTATCCTAGATCCCCCCAGGTGCTCAGAGGATGGCTCAGAGCATCCTTGGCAGCACCACCCCGCTCCAGCTTTCCAGGAGAAACATCCCCGCTGCGGCCAGTAGCGCGCGCTGAGAACGGATTAGCTCACACAGAAATTTGGCCTGAAGCACATTCTCTTCTTCTGCCTCTGCTCCTAAGACAAGTCATTTCTGGCACGGGGGCAGAGGCAGGGAGCAGACGGCATTCATCACCACGGCGAGGCTCTCCGCAACACGTCAGGACCTCGGAGTCTCTCAAGACCTGCTCTCTATTAATGCACAGATTTGCCTGGGGAGTATTCCAGTAAAGCTTTCTGGGGAGAGGCTACCTCCTTGCTTTGTGCTATGGCCCATTAACATCCCACTAAAACTACTGCCAGTAGAACACGCTTGGCAGACTGTCTCAAGGTGACCTTCACTCACCTTCCTCCCCAGGAAGCACTCTGCCCTCCCACGCCAACTCCACCAGGAAGGGGCACTAATTCCCCACTAATCCCGCTCACCTGATGCTGTGTTTGTCACCCCGTTCACCGTGCCGTCCACGTCTGCCTCGTCCTCGGCATAGCTCATCATTAAGGCTCTCTGGCGATCCGTCAGCCTCCTGCAGGTCGGAGACAGAGGTGTTGGTTACGGCTGTCTTTAGGGACAGACGTATCTGCAGACCTCCCTAACCTTCTCCAGCAGCACACGCAAGAGGCAGCTACTGGAAGTACAAGATTAATACACCTGGCATACACTGAGAATCCCTACAGCGCTCTTCAAACAGGCCATCTATAAAGAATAAGCCTCAGTGGAAGCAAAGAGATATGACCCACTCCATTCCACCAAACTGCAGTGAAAAATATTTTGAGGCGCTGACAAGAACCGTACGGAGCTGCAGCAGAAGACACATCTGGTGAGGACACCCCAAGAAACCAACTCCCTTGCCAAGGGCAGCGATACAAGCTAACAAGCTTCCTTCTCTACAGCTGCAGCGGGTGGCTGAGCAGTCTGAAAAGACCTTGCACAGACTTCAGTTCCTTTAAGCTGTAGGCGTGAGAGCCCAGACGCGCTGCGAGCTGGACCACTGCATTTATGTAACTGGGACCCAGAATCGCAGGTAGCCAGGCAAACACACGGGTGAAGAACTGCTTATGCGTTTCCAAGGTTTAGGGGTTTTAGAGCTGGGCTGCCAAATGGTGTTATTTGAAAAATAACTAAAAAAAAAAAAAAAACCACAACAGAAAAGCCTACCTCACATCAGAATTAACAGCAGAGTGAGAAATGGATGATTGTGATAAAGCAGGAAGGAATTGTCACAAAATGTTTCTGAACAACATTTTTCGCAAAAAGTTCAAGACTTCACAGAAACTTGTTCTTAGCTGTACTTACTGAGGAACTTTTATCTTTATGTGAATGTAGTGGTCTCCGTAGCCATAACTGTTAACCCTGGGAATGCCTTTCCCGCTCATTCGAATTCTCTGGTCTGGCTGAATACCAGGGGGTATCTATGAAGACAGAGGGGTCACATTTACCACTCTAGTTTAACCACTTCGATAGCAATTACGTTACATCTCTGCAGAAATTAACTACTCCTCCAGCAAGCTTCCAAGTAGGATGGAAGAGGTCTGGTACATTCAGGCATCTGGACACATTTGGACGCTAAGTCGGGAACGACGTAGAAGCTTTTGCAGGAACAAGTGAAGAGCCCCACGCAGTGTGCAGACCCTGGGTGGGTTTTGTCCAGCAGTCCACCCGGCCCGGCCTTCCCCTGGCCCCACACAGCCACCGGAAAGGGGCTGCAAGCAAGCAGGCCACAACCCACCTGCCACGCAATCCTGAAGAAGCCCGCAGCGCACTGCTGGCAGACTTCGGAGATCTGCACCACCTTTGCAGCAAAGGAGAAGTCCCTGCTGTCCCACATCAATTTATGCCCGAGCTCTTCCACGTAACGGTACTTACCGTGATGTTGATTGTCTCATACAAGCCTTGACACCTGGCTGTGCCTCCCAGAACAGCCTGGGCTATTGAAATAAGGAGGTCCGAATGGATATCTGCTCCATTTCTTCTGAACACAGAACTTTTTTGAACCTGAAAGGCAGGCAGTTCCAACGAGAAGTGAGCACACCACCACGAAGTTCTTGCGGTAAACTGCTTTGAAAGTTCTCAGAAGAAAACACGGCAGAATGCTGCAGTCAGACCGTTACCATCCACAGCCTGCACGGCTAAGAAGCCTCAGTTAATGTTCAGTCTTTCAGAAAAACACAGATCGTGACATAACTGTAATTAGCCAGAGGCTTAGGAGGACGCCTGCTTCCTACCTCCGCAACTCCCTCCCCTAACCCTGCGTGTTCATTTATCGGTGTCAGTATGATTCTGCGGAGACAGAGAAGACGTTGCCTTGCCCAGCATGCCAAACAGGCGAAGGCAGGATGAGAAGAGGGAGGCAAGCACCTTTGCACTGGCCTCACAAGCTGGAAGAGGATTATTAAATCCTCCCGCACCACAAAACAGGTGCTGAAATTTTTTTTCTCCTTGACAGAGACGTGTATGACAGGATACCTATGGGAGGAGAGGGCCCCAGCTACAACCAGGTGCAAAGCAGCACTTAATGTGTTTCTGCAAGAGGAGATGCGACCAGGCAGCCCCTCACGGGCATTCCGGCAGCCCTCCTCAGCACTCCCACCCCTGCAAGCAGGCAGCTCCTTCGCAGTGCCGAGTCAAAGACTCAAGGCATCAGGAACCAGCTCTGCCTTTCGATGCACGTTACCCTACAGGCCTCGTCCTGGAATGAGCAGCGCGATTCTCCATGGGCAGACTTCACGTTACACCACTTGTTACAATGCAGATCTGCTGTCTCAGAAAGCTCACGCGGATCGCGTTACCTCAGCTGTTTCAAAGCATCACTCGCTCTTCCTCCCCTGTCCCCCATTCCCTCAGACTTCCCAGGCAGTTGCGAAGGGAACAAGCAACCAACTCAAACAACAGACACAGCCAGCGACATGACGACACCTACCCTGAATGTAATGAAAATTTCTTTCTTCCCCACAGGCATCCGAACTGTCTGCCCGTCCTCAACGCCTGCAATCAGAAAAAAAGAGGCAACGTTACCTTGTGTTACAACTCACATGCTACTGCAATACCTGCAACTCCTGCCATCCCCAGAGCTGGCCACCACAGCAGCGCCAGGCACAAGACCTACCAGCGGGCAGCACAGTAACACTCTCCACAGGAGCCCAGGAGCTGTGAGCACACATTTATACCTCCCAGGTGATCACTACACCCCGAGCAGGCTCGCTACTTCAATCCCCGACACAATTCTTTTGCGAAATTCATCAGACTAAGGAACACTGGGCAGCCTCCACAAGCTGCAGGAAAATTACCGGCTGCTCGCCCAGGGCGGTCTCGAAGCAGCAAGTCTTCAGCCCCATCACTCATTTTATTCTCTCTGGCGAGGAAGGCCGTCAGCATGCCTTTCTGAGCTTTCAAGATTCCCACCCTCCTCCCAAGCTTCAGCAAGGACAAAGAAAAGACACAAGGTAACAAAACCTTCTGAGAGATTCGCTCTTCAAAACCTGTCTGGAAGGACCCATGTAAGAACCAAAACCTCAGCTGAGGAAGGGCAAAGCAAACCTTGATATCCATGGCCAGAAAGTTCATCTCGTTACTAGCCCTTTCAGTTGCCAAGCTATCAGCCTGCTTTGTTCGTCATGTAACTTCTCTGCAGCAAAACCTCTTACGCTGCGCTCCCATTCGTACCTGGCAGGGACCAGCCACGCTTCGGAGGCAAACGCCTTGCTGTTGGCCAAGCAGAAGCAAGTAACTACAGTTATTTAACGGGGAGCTGCACACAAGTACACCACTAACCAGCGGGCACAGGAACCATCACGGTCCTCTTCTGTTTGGTTTGCCCCGTTCCTCGACAAACTACACATGGTGTTGTTATGATGGAACCACGACCGCCGCACCGTCGGCATGTAGATCGCATTACGAAAGGGCCAGTATTTATTGTTTCCTAGCGAGGAAAACACAGATTGTACAAATATCTGTTACTGAGCCGGCACTTTTCACTTCCACCAAACACTGCCAGTAACTGGCCCAGCCGATTTGAGTCCTTCTAACTGCATGTGCACCTGACAGGACAGCGATACCCTTTAGCAAGGGGTGGAGCTAAAAAAGGGGTGGCTCAGCAATCCAAAGATGATGCTGCTTGTGAGAAGCTGGATGAGATTCAACTGCCATCACTCTCCGATTTCCACCCAAACCCATCACTGCTATGAGCAAGTGTCTTGTGGCGAGGGAAAGGGAAACACAACGCTTCATCTCTAGGACTTAATGTGCAAGGAACAAAGCTCCTTACAGTGCTATTTCACAAGAAACTACAAACATCTGTATTTTGAGGAATCCAAGGATGATCCACTTGCATGAATTACTGCCAGAGTCCAGGAAAAAGTTACGGAGACTAAGCTATGGTCTGAACTGTGAAAGCCACCCGCCAGATCGAACCATGCGAGAAAACAGTGGGAAGAGCTTGCAGCCTCCTCTGACCTGTTCTGGGCAGCAAGATACTCTGGTCACAGACTGCTCACCGGTAACCACTCTGACATGTGGAAATGGAAAGCCTGAGGCTCGATCACTACTTACTGTACGTAATGTGCACTTTCTTATTTCATGGTTACCCTTAGGCTATCATCATCTTCCTCCTTCCTCCACCCCTCAATTCAAAGTATCCCATTTAATGCCCAAGTAATTGAGAACTGTTACACTATATAAATATGGTTGAGTAAACTCAGAATTGTTACATTATGTAATAAATATGGTTAAGTAATTTCAGAACCATTACATTATATAAATATGGTTTGCTGGATGTGCAATACCAGCTGACCTAGCCCTGAAGGCTAGTGCATTTAGCTGGGCAGAGGACTTCTTTAATACAAAGAAAATCTTCCTAGTGCCTATTAAGATCAAGTCCACATTAACTCAGCTTCCCCCAAGATAAGCTGATGACCGTAGTGAGAATTTTCTGCTGTGGAAGGGACTGGCTTTTCCCCCAACAAGGGAAAGCACAGCAGAACCTGTGTCTTAAAAAGCACTTACCATGCCAGTGCCACTGCAGTAGTGACAGCGCTGCGCTTTGGTACCCGGTTCGTGTCCTTTACCATCGCATCGCTGACAGGAGTCGTTCATGTTCACCACAATCTCCTTGTTAACACCTTTTGCAGCTTGGGTGAATGTCAGTTCCATGATATACTGTACAGGAAACACGGACACCAACCTACAGCTGACGTGCGATCGCGTCTTAAACAGACTGGAATTGGTTTAGGCCAAATATCAAACAAAGCTTAAAATACATCCAGGTAATAGAGGGTGGGGAGAAACAGATCCAGAAGGAGAAACAGAACAGAAGGGTTCTGCCTCACTTGAGGAAGCAATAATCTGTCTCGTATAAATAAAAAGGGGTACAGAAGGACAGCAAACATTACAGGAATGATGATGACACCAGTCTGATGAGCAGCTGCGTAGCAGAAATGAGATTTAAAAAGGTAAAAGGAGGAAGTAAAAACAGAAGTCAAGCATTTCTCTGCCCTCAGGAAAACTCTTTATGCTTCTGAAAGCTTTGTTTGATGGGAATGGAGCAACAGGTGAGGGAGAAGGCTTTCAATCCCCATGAGTCCCAACCTCTTTCTCAATAAACTCTTCACATCGGCAGAGATGACTGCACAAAACAGGAAATTCCACTGATAATAAAAAGGTCATTCTTAGTAAAGCCAGCACACTGAATACCAAGCAGTTCTGAAGGCAGCACATGAATCAACACTGACAGGACTTAACAGAGCATTTAGCTGCACCACAGAGAACAAAACACAGGTTTTGTTTTATTATGGCCTCTGTTGCAAAGTTAAGCCAATTAAGTTGCAAAATTAAGCCAATTAAGCAGCCAAACCTAACGCTGGAAGGCTTGTTTTACAGTTAAAAGGTATTTTGTGGGTTTTGGCATTACATATCAAAGCAGACGTATGTAAATCAACGTACAGCAGGAAAGATGCCTCTACAGTGATGGAATTGTTTGGCAGCACCAACTGGTGTAAGTGAACACCAGATGAAGGAGCTGAAGTCCAGAAAATCTACTCTGTCTGGACGTGTGAAGGATGTATCCACATGGTTTACCAAAAATATGCGCCTCTCCCACCCATACAATGGGATATTCACGTGCTGACATCCCCAGAAGCAAATTCTTTGCCTAAGCTCTCTCCTGGAGCGACCTGTGACAGACTAGTGTCCCTCTCCAGCTTCTGTGGGTTTTATTTCTCATTTCCATTGCATTACTCAGAAAATGAACGCGCTTCATACCTCCTGTGGCTGGTCAAAGACGCTCTGAAAATCGCCGAAACGGGACCCCGAAAACTCTCCGAAGATTTTTCTGAAAAGCTCTTCCGGATCAATCGACGGACCGCTGCTCCAGTACTGCTGCCCAGCGCCGGCACCCGCTGCACCTGCGTCGAAACTAGCCGTGCCGTACGCATCGTACTGCTTCCGCTTCACTTCGTCACTTAGTACCTTTGGGGCAGCAGGAGGATGCCATCAGGAGACCATACGGATCCCGAGCAACGGGACAGCCTGCATCCGCATAGCCGCGTCTCTCAGGAGAATTCATGGCTACTGGCACCACCACCACCAGCCCACGTTCTCAAACCTTCTTGCCACCAGGAGGGCTACCCCGGCGCTCAGCAGCATGTGAATTACTGACAAGCTGCTGCTTCTCTGGTGTCCCTCAGCTCGTCACCAGGAAAATGCCAAGATCTTACTAATTTATAATAAGCAAGAATAATTTACATCATATATTCAATCATTAATACATCAGCTGAAAACGGGTGATAAGAGTGCTGGGGAAAATTTGAAAACCCATGAGAGCACAAACCAACATCAGAAGATTTCTGAACGAGCTGAAGACCAGGAAGAAACGGGGCTGGCGTGCAGCACAGTGGAAGGCACCTTTGGCTCAAACAGCTCCTAACTGTTGACAGATTTTTTTGTTGCTGTTTTTTTAAGCTGACCAATAACTCCACCGCAGTGACCGCAGCACCTCTGCCAGTCACTGACTGCTAAGAAAGAGCACAAATTGAAAGAGCCCAAAACATATTCAGCTAAATCAGATTCCTGGGCTAGGCACTTTCCTAGAGACACCGTTGGGGCAGGGGCACTCAAGCCTGAAGTACAAGATAGCAAAAAAATAGCCATGATTTTTACAGCACTCAAGAAATGTTTCCCCCCATCCAGCCTCCAACCTTTCCTCCTTTTCATCACGATAAAATCCTGCATGTTACCTCATAGGCTTCTGCCAGCTGAGCGAACTTCTCTTTAGCTTTAGGGTCATCCTTATTCGTATCAGGGTGGTATTTCTTTGCCAGCTAAACAACAAAAATTCAAGTATTAGAGACAGACAAACATGATTTCATAGAGTCATAGGTTGGGAAAGACTTCTAAGATCGTCCAGTCCAACCATCCACCCAACACCACCATTCCTACTAAACCATGTCCTGAAGTGCCACATCTACCCATTTTTTGAACCCATCCAGGGATGGGGACTCCACCCCTGCCCTGAGCAGCCTGGTCCAATGCCTGACCACTCTTTCAGTAAAGAAATGTTTCCTAATATCCAATCTAAACCTCCCCTGGCGCAACTTGAGGCCATTGCCTCTTGTCCTATCGCCAGTTAACTGGGAGAAGAGACCAACCCCCACCTCGCTACACCCTCCTTTCAGGTAGTTGTAGAGAGCAATAAGGTCCCCCCTCAGCCTCCTCTTCTCCAGACTAAACAGCCCCAGCTCCCTCAGCCACCTCATAAGAGTTGTTCTCCAAACCCTTCACCAGCCTTGTTGCCCTTCTCTAGACACACTCCAGCCCCTCAATGTCCTTCATGTAGTGAGGGGCCCAAAACTGAACACAGCACTCAAGGTGCGGCCTCACCAGTGCCGAGTCCGGGGGCACGATCACCTCCTGGCCACACTATTCCTGATCCAAGCCAGGATGCCATTGGCCTTCTTGGCCACCTGGGCCACTGCAGGCTCATGTTCAGCCGGCTGTCGACCAGCACCCCAAGGTCCTTTTCCACCGGGCATCTGTCCAGCCACTCCTCCCAAGCCTGCAGCGTTGCATGGGGTTGTTGTGCTTTGTACTTCAGCGCGTCTCACATGCCAGGTAACGCGCATCAGGCAAGGCTTGGAGTTCACTATCGATACTCTGGGAACGGAACGCCTCCGTTTTCCGTTACCCTCCCAATACAACGACGGAGCCCCCCGGCGATCCCAGGGCCTGCTGGAAGGCGAGCGGAGCCGGGC